CTCTACAGAATAAAATAACAAGATGCTATGATAACACCTGATCTCGCTAACTAGACAGTGTGATCAGGAAAGACCTCTCAGAAAAGTAACAGGTAAATGGAAGAGTACATGTAAAGGCTCTAAGGGAAAGAATCTAAAAGTAGGCCAGTGTAACAGGTGCACAGTAGGCAAGGAGAAAATAAGACTACAGAGATAGGGCTTTTCAACCAGAGGAAAATGTCTGTATAGTTCTCTATTCTACCAACTTTTTTCCATCCCTACCACTGCTGTTCTCAATTCTCATCTAGATGCCTACAAGACCTCCTAGCTGATGAACCTGCAGCCTCACTCAAGCTGGTCTCCCAAATCCATCCTTCACAACTGAGCCAAAGATATTTAACAGCTTAAAATTATTAAACGGCTCCCTGTTCCCTACAATGTATAGTCTTAATTTCCTTTCTGACTTTTAAGATCCCTCATGACACAGCCCCTACTTACCCCTCCAGCTTATGCCCCACTTCCCTCCAAAACTACCTGTGGCCCCACACTAAGTTACTTGCATCTTAATAAAACCCACCACATGCTTTCATTACTTTGTGCCTTTTCACATCTTTGAGTTTTAAATCAACTGTCTCCTCTGTAAACCACCTCTAATACACACCAAACACACTTAGGTATTTCTCTCTGCTCCTATAGCATCATTTGCTCTATTCTAGATTTGTCATGATGTGGTAGTTATGATGCTTACCTACAAGACTATGATGTTTATCCTACTAGACTTTAATATACAGACTGTATGTTATTCATCTTTTTATCCCTAGCAGATAGCACAGTACCTATTTAACAAACACTTTTTTGCATAATTAAAAAATAGAGACTCCTAACATTTATGCTTTTAGGATCTAAGCATCCCTAAAGTAAGCATACACAATGACAAACTAGATTCAAGGAATCCTTTAAAATATTTCAAAGATTTAAAAAATCCTATAAAATGACTCTTCCATAAGTCAAATAATTAAAAATCTAGATTTTTAAATATTAAATTTGGTTGAAATGCGGTCCTCTTAGAAATATTTATGCCCCACAATATTACCATAAGAATTAAAAATTTTAGGGACTTCCCTGGTGGTCCAGTGGTTAAGACTCTGTGCTTCCAATGCAGGGGCTGCGGGTTCAATCCCTGGTCAGGGAACTAAGATAGGTCGTGGCCAAAAAAACTAAATAAATAAATTTTATATATATATATATATATATATATATATGAATATTACTTATTATATTGAAAAATAAAATTAATAGAATTATTACAGAAACTTGTAGCAAGTAACAGAAAATTACAAATTTATATTTTAATCCCTATTCAATGAATTCAAGTCACAAATGCACATCTACAGTTTTCACCTTGCTTTCAGTTCTCAATCAAATACCATATTGTAGGAGCCCTCATGATCCACTGCAAAGGAGGTAGTTCAAAGAATGTTTACATTTTCAAAAGTTTAATTTGGCTTGGACCATCACACTAGCAAAAAGATTTCATTATAGCATTATTTTAAGATTGAAAAAGTGGAATTACTAAAATATTAAAAGACAGAATAGAGAACAAACGTATGGACACCAAGAGGGGAAAGTGGGGGGGGGGGGCGGGTGTGGGATGAATTGGGAGATTGGGATTGACATGTATACACTAATATGTATAAAATAGATAACTAATAAGAACCTGCTGTATAAAAAATAAATAAAATTCAAAAAAATAAAAGAATAATGGTTAAATAAACTGTGACAGTACAACTTTGGACTACTACAAAACGATAAAATATAGCAATATGTATTACAATATTATGTTTAAAAAGACAATTATATGAACATTAGCAACAGAATTATACGCAAGTATAGACAGGATTAGTATAGTATTATACTAATATACTATAGAGGACTTCCCTGGTGGCGCAGTGGTTAAGAATCCGCCTGCCAATGCAGGGGATACGGGTTCAAGCCCTGGTCCGCGAAGATCCCACGTGCCGCCGAGCAACTAAGCCCGTGCGCCACAACTACTGAGCCTGCGCTCCAGAGCCCGCGAATCGCAACTACTGAGCCCACGTGCCACAACTACTGAAGCCCGCGCGCGGAGAGCCCGTGCTCCGCAACAAGAGAAGCCACCGCAAGGAGAAGCCTGCACACCACAATCACCACAATGAAGAGGAGCCCCCGCTCGCTGCAACTAGACAGCCCACGCGCAGCAACGAAGACCCAACGCAGCCAAAAAAATAATAAAAATAACAAAGAAAACCTTACTTAAAAAATATATATATATATATTATAGAAGTATAACAGAACTAGACTACAGAAAATTGTAAATGTAAGCAGGGAGCATTCATTTCTTTCTTTTGAATTTCTCTTAATCATGTTATATTCTTTTCCACTAAAAAGTTAGTTTACAAATACCACATGAAGAGAACTGTATTACATTTACTTACTTATATGTAAGTATTATGTACTGACATAAATTTAAACAAAAATTTTAAGTTTAAAAACTACCTAATTTTTTCCCACAAAATACTAAGTTTTAAATTTCAAATAATAAAGTTATCTGATTTTGCAATTTCCTACAATCTGATGCTAAAGACCTACCCTTTTACACCAGCTATACTATGTAAACTCATTTCCCCACGTTTTAACACTTTTAGAGTAATCTCCAATTCCCACAAGGCATCCCATCACTGCAAGTCTGTCAAACTGACAATCTTAAAAAGGAGGTACAACTTGTGGTACCAGCACAGAGAAGATAAAATTTTAATTCATGTACTATGAAAGCTTATTTGCCCTTACTAAGTTTCAGCAGATACATTATGCTGGAAATACAAATTAAAACAAATTCCATTTGCAAATCAAAAAGACCAAATGAAACAACCTGCCTCTGACTCAGCAGCTTTTTTACTTTACAACCTGTGCTTAAGTTGCAAGGATAAGACTGAAACCTAACTTTCAAACTGAGAAGTAAAACCAGTGCAAAATCAATATTTGTCTTGGCAGGAAACCCCAATGAAAATATGAGATGTTTTGGTCTCAACTTGAGATATAGAAAAGCAAAGGTGCCTCCTTGGGTTATTATTTATCATGCAAAATCCCTTGTCTATAGCTACAAATTAGCTTTTATTGCAGATACTTAACATGTTTCTTTATAGGCAGCGCCTCAGCCAAATAACCTTCCAAATCTGGCACCATGAATTGTTACAGCTTACACACCACTGCAGTTCCTTGTAATTTAAAACATTTGCGTTTTAAGAACAGCCTCCACACACCAACTCTACTGCCAATTTCTCCAGCTGAAAGCTCGAGTTTATACTACAAAATACTATATTTACTCTCAACAACAGAATGCGCTCATTTACAAATTACACAAGAGTAAATGACTCCAATACACAACTTAAAAATTTCTAACATCATACCTTTTCCATTATCCAAATTAACAAGACTAAACAGCAGTACACTAAGTGAGGTACTATGACTAAAGTCAACTGCCATATCATCAGTTCAGTAAAATCAGTAATACACAAGACAGACCCCTAATCCCAATCAACTATTTAGCAAAATGGCCACAGGAGATACCAATGAGGGGAAAGTGTGGATTGAGTTTGCCATTACTAGAAAAACGAGTCAAAGCAAGTCTGTACGAGAGGCAGATTAACCTCATGAATACAAATCTAAGTTCATATCTGAGTTCCAGTCTCACACCAAGAAGGCAGTTTATCAAATTTTTAACAGTAATACAAAGAACAGGGCAAAAAATAAAATAGAGAACTTTTTTTTTCATGGTAACGTTGATAAAGAACAGGTATCCTTCAATGTTCAGAGATGAAGTTTTCCTTTTACAACCAGTTTTTCTCTTATCACGTGTACACAGAAAATCCTACAGTTCTCTGCATTTCAGATAGCTTAATACACACGATCACCTCAAATCAAATATTTATTGAAAACTTACCTCCTTAGCACAAACATTCTCTCCTTACTACATCCTTCGCCTTCTAAACTGAGACCGGAAGGGAAAACCTACTCCTACGGTAAATTAGAGTCTAGGGAGAACATCTTAACACGAGTTTGCACACAATTAAGCAGGTTCAGTAAATCAATTACCCAGACTACAATGCTTGACAATTTCTCTGAAGCAAAAACACACAGACAGCTTAGGGTTCATTACTGGAGATGACTCTTTCCCTCGTATTTACACAAGTAACTTCGGTAACTGCCCTAAATTTTCCCGTGTGAAACAAACAGTTAATAGGAAGGCGGGGGTACTATTTAAAAACTGGGTCATTTCCTATGTATTCTGATGAAGTACGATCTTCGAGAAGGAAAAGGTCTATGAAGCAGAAAAAGAAAAGGAGGGGGGAATAGATGACAGCATCCTCAATGCAGAAAAGTTACAGCTCTTTACTGGAGTCAGCAATAGGGGCTCATTAGTTGGTTTTTTGGTTTAGTCACTCGGAGTTGAATGAAACCTGCCTTCCTAAAAGTCATCGCCAACAAAGAAGCCCTGAGGATCCGCCACGGCAAAGCGGAGGAGGAAATGTCCTCAATTCACCTGAGACACCTGCCCAGGTCCCCAGTTCTCTCCCCGCCCTGGCCCCCAACCCCCTCGGGTACCCCGGTCCACGCCCCTTGCCCCCCACCCAGGCGGCAGTCTCCTCGGCGGTCGCGAAGGCCCAGACCCCTCGCGCTTCCTTCCACCGCAGTGGCTCTCCGCAGCCGGGGCGGCGGCACGGGGAGGCCCTTCCCGAGCGGCCTCTCCCCCATCACACCCCGCAGGCTCCGGGGACTCCCCGCCCCCGGAAACCGCAGAGAAACTAGGCCGAGAATGCCAGCCCAGCCCACTCTACGCCTTCTCGGCGACCCCTGCACGCCGGCCCTCGGAACTCAGCCCTCCGAGCTGCTACCTGCCCAGCGCCCACCCGGCCCGGGAGCGCGGGGCTAGATGACGGGCGGCGCAGGGTTCCTCCGCGAAAGGCCCTCCGCCGCAGACTCACCTGCCGCCCGCTCCTCCTTCAGCGCCACCCGGGCACAGCCCCTTCCTGGGGCATGAAAGCGCCGGCTTCGGGCCTGGGCGCCCTCGACAGGGAAGGGCCGGGGATTTGCTCTGGCGGCCGCCGCCGCCACTGCCGCCACCACCGCCGCTCTGCGCCTGCGCCGCCTCCCGGGCTGGGTCTCGAGGGGCGCCGCTTGCAACGAGGGGTAACAGCCGGGAGCGCGAGCTCGCGCCGGCGCCTCGGCTCACCCGAGGCCGGTAGTGCGGGCGGCGGGTTGCCTAGGAGCTGCGTGCTGCACTGCTGCCCCGACAGCTGACGGCCATGTTTCTGTTCCCTTTTTCTTTTTTTCCTCCCTCTCCTTCCGCCCCTTTCCACAGAACAGCACTTTCCTTCCCCCCCTCCCGCTCCCTTTCCTACTGCGGGGGCGGTGGAAAAAGGCGTGGGGGAGGGGTGGGGAAGGGAGGACGCGGGGGCGGGGCAGCGCTCGAGCCCCGCCCCCGGGGAGGGCCGAGGCCGCACAGCCACTGCTCCCCTCCCCCACGCACCCCACCGCGACACCCTCAGGGCGCGGGGGTGCCAGTGCCGACAGCCCGTGAGCCCTGCCTCCGCGTCCGCGCGGCGGGTCCCGAGCAGAAACAGAGCCAGGGAGAAAGGGCTCAAGGTACTGCTTTGCACCCCTTCCTGCGGCTCTCAGACTCGCCTGTGGTGCGGCTTTATTACCTTGGCCTCAAGCAGGTGGCGGCTGATCTTTTCCGGTTTTTCAAAGGCGAGGAAAGGGACTCCGAGTCCCTCAAAGTCACTGAGGACAGTGCTGAGAGAGATGCAGGTCAAGTTTCCTTCCCAGGATGGGAGTTGGAATTCCCACGTATGACAGGGGGCCTCCCAAGCAGTAGAGAGACCCGCCGACTGGGGCTTCCCTAAGTCCTTCCTGGCTGCAGCGGCCCTTGAGAGTCCTTGACCGCGCTCGGTGTCGCTACCTCGGCAGAGATTTGGGGATGGGAACTCGGTACTTGGAAATCGCTCGTTTAAATAATCAGTCCTCTCAGGCCTCCTAAATAACTGTAGCCTCCTTATCCACACGGCTGCATGCATGGTCCATTCCCTTAATGCAAACTTTATGAGATATTGTTAACTACGTTTTGAAATAATTATATATATGTAATTATATATACATGGAAAAATAACAACTAGTTATTCAGGAAGAAGCAAATGGTTTGAAACAAATTAGGAGAACTCTTTTACCTCCTGGCAAAAAAAACCTGGCGAGTGACTTCACAGATTCCACGGCAGGTCAGAATTAGAATTGGCAAGATTTGTGCACTAACGAGTATTCACATACATAATGATCATTTTCCTGAGAATTACTCTCTCCTTATTAAATCTGTATTTTTGCTGAAAAGTATGAGATTAAACCTCGGTCATGAGGGTCCTGTTGTCAATTTACTTCCAAAGTTTATTGCATATATGGATAGTTTAAATTTTGTAGCCAATAGCAGAAACTATTTCCCTGACCATGTTAGCAGTAAGAATTGATTCAGTAGAAAGAAACAGCAATAAAAAATGTCCTATTTAATAATAGTTTGGAGTCATTCTGAGCCTAGTGGAAACCAGTCTTTGACAGTGACCATCTGGACCGAAGTTTATAAAGGAACTAATACTTCAGAATTCAGCTTGTTGACTTCTTGTCCTTCCTTTCTCAAGGGCAAATTAATTAATAGTTTTAAATCATTTACAAGATTTTGTAATGGGTACATTTTATTAACAGTCATAGTTTGAGGGGTTTTTCCCTCTTTTCACAGTTTTTTGCACCCACAGAAATGAAAAATGGAAGAAACCAGTATATCTCTTCCATTTGATTGAGAAATTTTTCTCAATTTGCAATGTAGGATTTAAGGATGTCTTTAATTTTTTTTCACTATTTTAATTGTCCTATAGATTTACCGTACATTTCCATTGCCATAGTCTACCCAAAATTTCATAGAATGAACTTGTATGTTTGGGGTCTAATTTTTTGTCTAAGGTAGCTATTAAGTCTGAAAGTCCTTGAGTCAGCAGCAGCCTTTTCAACTGCACTCTTATGGACCCAGGGCTAAAATAAGTTCCTCTTAATTTTTAACACATATTTACTGTCTAAAAAGTGGGAAGGGAGCTGGAGAGCCCAACATAGCATAACATATAGCATAATTGTTTTCGTGATGGTATCACAGTTTCCATTGAGTCTGTATAGATACAAGAATGCATAAAAGAATCAGCCCACTGAAGAGGGGCATACAGACATCAGATTGGGCATGGTCAATTTCTGCAGACTTCTGCAGATCAGCAGTGCAAAGGAGTTGAATGGAAGTCTTCCTAGTTGTTGTCTTCAAAAACTCCTAAACATTGCTTTTCATAGAAATATTCAAAGAATTTTATACTACTATGCTTTTTTTGTTATGCTCACTAGTTTTATTTTTTAGGTTCCACATATAAGTGATAACATATAGCATTTGTTATCATTATCTATTGTCAGATTTCTCTATCTGACTTAATTCACTAAGCATAATACCCTCTAAGTCCATCCACGTTCCTGCAAATGGCAAAATTTCATTCTTTTTTATGGCTGAGTCGTATTCCACTGTGTGTGTGTGTGTGTGTGTGTGTGTGTGTGTGTGTGTGTATCACGTCTTTATCCATTCATCTGTTGACGGCCACTTAGGTTGCTTCCATATCCTGGCAATTGTACATAGTGCTGCTTTGAACATTGGGGTGCATGTATCTTTTGAATTAGTGTTTTTGTTTTCTTCAGATATATAACCAGTAGTGGGATTGCTGGATCATATGGTAATCCCACTTTTAGTTTGTTGAGGAGCCTCCATACTGTTTTCCACAGTGGCTGCACCAATTTACATTCTCATGAACAGCCCTGTGATAGCTTATGTGTATTCACATGTCACATTCTCTTCCAAATCCCCAGTACCTAGCAGAGTATCAAGTACATGATAGGCTCTCAAAAAGTACTTGATGAATGACTGAAATAAATCAGACCATGGTTCCCTCACTTTCTTCTACTCTGTTCTTAGGCAGGTTACTTAATTTTACTCATCTTTAAAGTGTGTGGAATGATATTCATAAATAAGCTCATTTATTAATTTATAATAAGCTATAATTATCAAAGAGACCAGTTCAGTAATCAATACTTAGCATATGTGATAGATGGCCTCTCATTCATTATAGCTTACCCTGGTAATGATCCCTGGCTCCTGGTTTATGCCCTTGCGTAATCCCCTTCCACTGACTGTGGGGTGGTCTTACTGACTGGCTTTAACACGCAGAATACATCAGAAGCAATGAGATGTCTCTAACAAGATGAGGTTATAAAAAAGACTGGGGCTTCAGTCTTGGATTCTCTCTCTCCTTGGGTTGCTCACTCTGGGGGAAGCCAGCTAGCATGTCATCAGGCAGCCTTGTAAGTGATTTCAGAAGTGGATCCTCCGCAAGATGAGCTTTGAAATGACTGCAGCCACAGCCAACCCTGATTGCAGCCTCTTGACAGACCCTGAACCAAAATCCAGCTAAACTGCTCCTGGATTCTTTACTCACAGAAACTATGAGATAATAAATGTTTCTTGTTTCCAAAATATTGGTGTAATTTGTTGCACAGTAATAGATAAATAAAACAGCACAGTAATACCTAGAAGATAGCAAGTGCTCATTAACGGTAGCCCTTCCTGGGAATTCTCTGGCGGTCCAGTGGTTAGAAACCCATGCTTTCATTGCTGAGGACCTGGGTTCAATCCCTATTCGGGGAACTAAGATCCCACAAGCCATGTGGCATGGCCAAATAAAAAAAGCTAGGTCCTCCTTTATTGATTATATCTGGGTTCAGCATGTGATACTTAGCATCCTATAATGCCAAGTTAAATGACAGTGTTTACAGTTGCAGTAAGAGAAAGTATCCAGGAAAAGTGGAGAGACTAACTTGCCTGATGTGTTATTTGTAAACTATCTTTGCTTCAAGAGAATCATTAAAATGTATTTCATATGATGTCTAGGACTTGCTTCAGAATAATACAGTGGGAGCAAGAAGGTGAGTAAGTAGGGGTTTAGGTAAAATAAAATTGGACATGTGTTGAAGCAGAATGTTTGGTACTTGAGGGTTCCTTATGTTGTTCTCTACTTTTTATGTCTTTTTGAAATTTTCCGTATTAAAAAAGTTGTTTTAAGTATTCCATGAAATTGTAAGTTTAGAGTTGAGGGGAATCTTTAGAGATTATCTAGTCTAATTAATTCATTTAACAGACGGGGAAATTAAGGCCCAGCAAAGTTTATTGACTTACCTAGAGTCTCCCAGTCTCAGTTTTGGTGATTTCATAATTGAGTATTGAGTAGAAACTACAGTTGACACTTGAACAACATGGGTTTGAACTGCGCAGGTCCACTTATACGTGCGTATTTTTCAATAAATGCATGCTACAGTACTACACCGTCTGTAGTTGGTTGAATCGTTGGATGTAGAATTGCAGATATGGAGGGCTGACTATAAAGTTATATGCAGATTTTTGGCTGCATGAGGGGATTTGCACCCCTAACCCATGTGTTGTTCAGGGGTCAACTGTACTAAATTCATGGCTCTTTATTTTCCCAAACAGAATAACTTGCTCCAGATTTCCTATAATCCACACCTTGTAGACTAACAAGGTACTGGTTCCAGCCCCTCATAATCAGTTTTCAAAAACATAGCCTTTGAAGGCCTGGTGCTTCATACCTGTAGGCACTCTTAGTTATTCTTTTAGAAAGAGTTTTTAGTAAGAATGACATCAACAAACACTAGATCTGCTTTATTCATACGATATCTAAATGACTCTATGTGTTCTGCTCTCCACAGGGAGCCCTAGCACACTCTTCTCTTTGTGCTGCACTCCAGTATCTTATCTGGCTGGGGACTCTGTCTCAACTTTATCAGAACAGGCTCATCTAGAGTCTTTCAGAGTTACTCAGCACATTCTTTATCCAGCTCTCTCCAAACATGGCTGGAGTAGGAGTGGGAAGGACTGACACAAGGCTCTTGGACAGAGGAGAGTAAGTGTTCCCCGAGAACAATGTCCCAACAGATCATAAAGAAGAGTTTAGAGAAACTAAACTCGTAGCAGGGAGAGAGAAACAGAGAAAGATAATGGGCAGAGAGGCTGAACAGGAAGGTAGTCTATATGAATATCTGAGTCACAAAACCTGCTGCCCATGACTGGCTTTTATGAGCTCCCGACAGTATTTCAAGTGGAGGAAATAGTCCTCCACCCTCACTCAGTCTTTCTCCACTGTTGGAAACCAGTGTCTGTGCTAACTTGAATACCACTTTAGCACCTACCAAGTCCAAATATGGCCATCTGCCCTAACTGGCACTGGTCCATATCCATCCATCCAGACATGTTCCTAGTTTC